CCTGGGCTACGTCCGTTTTGCTAGCGACAGCCTGCCTCCGTCCACTGTGCGCTTATTCCCTCCCCAAGACCCAAGAAATTCCTCCCATCAATTACCTGGAGGCAGCCCTTGTCAGTCGATACGTCTGACTGCTACTTTGCCTATTCTCCCCACGAACCTCCCGTCGGAACACTGCGCACCGGACCTCGATTCTTCGCCCCTAGACAACACATATGCCCGCCGACGATCGTTTGATGGCATAGATTGCCATTCATCTTCGGGGCAATTGGGATATGGGCACCTGTCAGCGACACCTGGAACCTGGAACTTTCGACAGAGCCAGCCAGTCTCCAGTGGTGCCCGTCACTCGCTCGCTATCGTAACAGTGCGACAACCGCTGACTCGTTCTTGTCCTCGTCTCGCCTTGACCTTGCCTCACCTCGTATCAGCTTCCTGACCTCGTCAATTCGACCGTCTTCCTTTTTTACCCTCGTCTTACGATTATGGTGAGAACCGCCCGCAACGAACGCCTACGCCCGAGAGCAACCCCCAAAATTGATCCCACCTTGGCTGGAGCCCCAACACCACCACCCCCTCCACACCCCATCTGAAAATCAGGCTCAAATCCAACACCATCAAAGGAGTGCAAGATCGCTAACAATTGGAAAGACTGGTGGTGCTTCTACGGACATGGCCGAGGACGACGGCGGCCTGCCCGCTCAAGACTGGGCAGGCGGTGCCGCGTCGCCTGCAGGTAGTGAATCGGAGAATGAGGCCGGTGGCGCGGACGCGCCATCACAACCAATTCAAAAACGGCGTCGAGTTACGCGCGCCTGCGACGAATGCCGCCGCAAAAAAATCAAATGCGATGGGAAGCAGCCATGCACCCATTGCTCTGTTTACAGTTACGGTAGGCATTGCGACACACCCCGTTGCCCCCTATCAGCTAAAGAGACGGTCAACCTGACATGGTGAGGCAGAATGTACATATGATAAACCATCCAACAGAAGACGAAACCCAGCGCCACAATACATCGAGGCCCTCGAAGGCCGCTTGCAACGCGCAGAGACCCTTCTTCGCAAATTCATGCCGGACGTCGACCTAGCGGATCCTAATCTTGACCCAGCAGTGCAGCAAGAATTTCACAACCGCGAGCAAGCACGCGCTCGTGCGGCCAAACAGCAACCCGGTGGTCACCATTCAGTGCCATCTACCTCATCTTCAAATGATACTCAACTAATGTCTATGATCGACTCGACCGGGCAGCTTGACATAGATGACAAGGGCGGCTGGGACTTTCATGGTATCTCGTCTGGGGCAGTATTCTTGAAGAGAATGAAGGATCACTTCCGAGGCAAGCTTGGCCCTTCGACGAAACTCCCATTCATGGCTCGTGGAGAACGACATACTGGTCTGACAAATCTTGATCCTCCGACGCCGGCTGGACAGTCTCCGTTTTCTTCCGTGTCTAACTACGCAGAGATGCCCTCGAAGGAGGTCACTCGCAACTTATGCTATTATTCTTTAAGTTGCGCAACCTGCCTTGTTCGAATTATTCATATTCCTTCATTTTATGAAAAGCTCGATTCTGTCTATGATCGACCAGTCGATAGCCTCAGCCAGGAAGAGAGTCATTTCCTTGGGTTGGTGTACTCAGTCCTTGCCCTGGGATGCATGTACAACAGCTTGGATGAAGCAAGCCCGTCAAGGATGGCTTACCAAGAGGCAACAGAAGAGGGGTAAGTCTGATCAGCATCTAGATACACCGATATCTGAAGGCTAACGCGCAGTAGCATGAAATATTACAAAAGTGCAAGAGTGCTGTTGCAAGACATCACCGAGTGCCGTGATCTCACCTCCCTCCAGGCCCTTCTTTTCATCATACTATTTCTCCAAGCAACATCTAATTTGAGCGCATGCTATGCTTTTGTGGGAATCGCACTTCGCTCCGCCCTTCGCATGGGTCTTCATCGACATTTAGAGCATGAGCAGATCGATACCGTGGAAGACGAGACTCGTCGGCGCGTTTTCTACGTGATTCGGCAAATGGACATTTATGTGTCAACCTTATTGGGATTCCCTTTGCTACTCAACACCGACGATATAGACCAGCCATACCCTTCAGAGGTGGATGATGAGTTCATCACCCCAAATATGATTCTGCAGCCACCACCCGGATCCTCGTCATTTTATGTGGCTTTCAATGCGCATACCCGACTCATGGAAATTCTCGCCAAGATCACGAAATTCGTGTACCCAATGAAGAGTGGGCCTTCGAACGGCAAACTTCAGAAGGCTTCGGCCGCCAAGTCTTCATACTCAATCAGTTACGCTAGGATTAAGGAGATCGAAGGTGACCTTCACGATTGGTTTGAGAAGCTCCCAGAAAGGTGGCGTCCCAGCCCCGATGGGCCTATTGAGGTCGTGAGGTGAGTATATTCGCACCCCTCGTATCCATCAGACATATCCGTGGGAGCTAACTATAGGAACAGGGTTCGTCATCTGCTGAGGTTTGTCTACGCGCACGTACAATTAGTTCTGTACCGTCCGTTCTTGCACTACGTCTCTCCTCGACTTGGTCAAGGAACGAAGATTGATGAACTATCATATGCTTGCGCTGCCGCTGCCATCAGCGTGTCCCGTAACATTGTTCACATTGGTCTTGAGATTCGAAAGCAACGAGTGTTGAGTGGGCCATATTGGTTCATGTTATATACCGAATTTTTCGCCGTCCTGTCTCTCGTATTCTACGCCCTAGAAAACCCGGAAAAGCCAGGCACTTCTGAAGTTCTTGCCGACGCCCGAGCAGGCCGTCAGATGATTGCCGAGCTTGCGGATAAGAGCTACTCGGCGGATAGAGTAGCGAACAGCCTAAAGGTTCGAGGCCCTCCTACACTAGTCACAATCCTAACTTCAGATACTGACCGTAATCTAGGTTCTGTTTGATCAATTACCAGATGATCTCGAAACAACGGCGAGCCGCTCAGCGCCATCGAAAAAGCGCTCTGCCCCGGCTGCTGGCCAGCCTGGCTCTTTACCAATGTTCTCTGGTGGTCGCCAATCAAGCGTGTCGTCACAACGGACAGAAGACTTAGCACGGGCTCGAAGTGGAGGCAGGGCACCAGCTGCTTTCTCTACGCCAACATCGCGAGGATCCAGCGATACCATTCAACAGTTTTCTGATCCCAGATTCCAGGACCCGAACTATTCCACGAACATGACTGACCTACTATCGATGGATATGTCATCGCGGGGAACCTCGGGGTCTCCCAGCATTGCAGGGTCCACCAGCCACCAGCCACCTTATTCAATGCCGCCACAGCAGTTCAGCACTCGACACCCTGTAAACAAACTCAACACGCTCATGTTCCCGTCAGAAGACCCATTCGCCTATCCCAACCAGCCAATGATGGAGCTTGGCTTCCAACCTCACTCCAACATGGGAGATCAAAATCAGTCATCTGGGTTCTTCGTTCCCGGAAGCATGGAGGAGGGCGATAGTCAGGTCCTTGGGCAACCGCCGCCATACGTGATCCAACACCCCGAAGGCCAGCCTGGATTTGAGTTTTCAACGGAAATGTACGATCCCAACTTATTCGGAATGCAAATGGGACAGCAGCCACATGCACACGGATCAGGACCAGGACAATCGCCGCACCATGCGATGCCACACTCTGGACAGACGTACCCACACGCTCGTCGGCCGCACCAGAGGCGACAGCAAAGGCAGATTGATCAAATTTTCACGGAGCAAGGTATGCAGGCAGACTGGGGAAGTTTCTTCGGCTCTGGAAGGGGTGTATTTCAAGGGATGTGATGGCAACTATATGATACCCAACCTTTTCCTTATCGTTTCTCCATATCGCGCAAATACAGGGCGAACTGGTGGTGTTTTTGGATACCGGACTGGGCACGGTCTTTGGTGGCACGGTTTTCATTTGATGTGCATATCACTTTTCTTGGTTTTCATGTTTTCTTGGGTAATGAATGATCTGTCGTTTTGACTCCATTTTTGGGTATGGATACAGCGATACAAGAGATGGGGCGGGGGCGAAACATTGGGATGCAAGCTTCTGGGAAGGATTTATTTGGTTTTGGCTGGCATGATACAGAGGATGGGGGCAAAGCCTTTTCGGGATTCAACCTACGGCGCTTCAATCGGTTTGCTAGGCGGCTGGATAGACAAGATGATGCCGGGTGCTTTGGCTATCTTATTATTCCGGATGACAACACTGCGGAGTTTTATCGGTCAACATATGAATAAACACGCATCAAGATTCCATTAACTGCTCCAATGAAGATGTCGAGATGTCTCATATCGGACGTGATGTGGCTGTTGCTTTGTATGTGGAGTGAACGGGGATAACGGTGGCAGCGTAAGTCGGGCTCCACCGTCAAAACGGTCGTTGGCCGCATCGGCACCGATAGAGTGTACAGTCTCAAGTGAGTACTCGCACGGTGGATGCAGCTACGTCATCCGCTACCGGACCGGAGCTAGCAAGGGGTCCAAATCTCACGGGCAATTTATTGGGTGCGCGCGCTGCGTCCGATTCTGCCTCGCGCCGTATTCCAGTTATCCAGGGGGGAGGGGCAGAAGAGCGGAACCCTTCCACAGAACGGAAAGATACATGCGAGTGGGCCATTCAGCCAATAATTGGCAGCCCGAATAATACGCAAAACTCGATCCGCCAGAGGAAGCGCGCATCGCGATCCGAAAGCGAAGCGAGCCATCTCATCGGTCTTACCTATTGACACTCCCGGTGGATGGCTGGGATGCAGTCACGCTTGCCTCTCGTCAAGGAAGAAGGCACAACTTCGAAGAGCCGATAATGCTACTAGAGTTGTTGATTGCCAGCTCCTCTTTCGCTCATCGGCGGCGACCGCCGTATTGGGGGGATCATGGCTCCATAATCAAGAACCTAGTGACATGATAAAATATCTTCCTATATACGCTCCATCAACAGTATCCAAACCTACTCAATAGAGTGAGAAGATCTAGCTCTCCTCCCAAAACCTCAAAATGAGCTGTTCAGACCATCTCCCCGTATTCCTTCGCGAGCTTCCCAAATGCGAGCACCATCTTCACATTGAGGGAACCCTCTCACCAGAGCTTCTATTCAACCTCGCCTCCAAAAACTCTGTATCACTCCCCACTGATGATCCGGCATTCGCCTCTCCTGCAACGCTCAAGGCCCGCTACAAGAACTTCGCTTCCCTAGACGACTTTCTCCATTACTACTTCATAGGCTTCAAAGTCCTCACCAACGCCTCCGACTTTGAAGCACTAACCTATGACTATATTCAAAACGCGGCAGGCCAAAATGTCAAGCATGCAGAGATTTTCTTTGATCCGCAAGCGCACACCGAGCGCGGGATAACATATGATACCCTCATCAGCGGTTTGAAAGCTGCCAAGACGAGAGCAGCAACTGCGTTCCCAGATATGAGCATTGAGTTCATTCCCTGCCTGGTCCGTCACCTACCAGTCCCCACGGCCCACACGATGCTCGAGGAGATTGTGAGTGCAGGCCACTTTCACGATGGCACAGTCATCGGCTTTGGCATGTCCAGCACCGAGAAGGACATGCACCCCTCGCTCTTCACATCCGTGTACAAAGCTGCCCAGGAGGCGGGGATCGAGAACCTGACGGCGCACTACGGCGAGGAGGGGCCGGCATCGTACATGGAGGCGGCCATCGAGCAGCTCAGCGTCGTACGGGTCGATCACGGGCGGCGCGTCATCGAGGATCCGAGCCTGGTTGCCCGGCTGGCAGAGGGCAAGCTGATGCTCACGCTGTGCCCCGTTTCCAACGTGGCACTGAGGGGGGTTTCCAGGATCGAGGATCTTCCCATCAGAGAACTCTTGGACAAGGGGGTGCGGTTCAGCATCAACAGCGATGATCCGGCGTACTTTGGAGCGGACATCTTGGGGAACTACGAGGCTGTACAGTTGGCGTTTGATCTTACGATACCGGAGTGGGAGGGCATTGCTCTCGGGTCTATTGAAGGGAGTTGGTGTAACGAGACGCGGAAGCAAGAGCTGAGACAAATGGTGCGCGACGTCGTCCAGAAGTTCTCTTGATGATGAAATGTAAACGGATGCTCCCAAAATTCTAACAGTTGTATCAAATAATAATGAACAATGTACCTGTTGGAAACACCCGCGATCATATCTTCCAGACTCCCAATGCCACGGATTAAGGTAGCATGCGATTGGCGAAACGATCCAGCCATTTTTGCCCGTTTGGAACTGGCTGGCTGGGTCCCGCATAATTAGACGGGGCGGGCGCTATCTCGCATTTGATGGTCTGTGCACTCACTTAGTACTTGGACGTGCCCAACCAGCGATTGCCGTCATCGGTTAGTACCAGCCATAGCTGTGACCATCACCACCATCAACCCCAGCCAGCGTCCTTGAGCTGATTCCGTTGTGCTTGCCACAGATAGGTGCGGTCGGTCAGTATCACGCTATCTACCAGCGGCATAGCTTCAAAGGCCTACGCAAGCTGTATCACTATGGACAAACTCAAGTATGAGCTTGCGCTTGAGGACGAGTTCGATGCCCTGTATGCAAGATACCAACCACCCACTCTGATGCCATCGTGACCAAGCTTCTAATGAATTTGAATAGGAATATTGAGGTCAAGGCTGAGGATGTCGAGGAGATTCTAAGCTCCCGTAAATATCCAGGTGGGCTCCCCTTCCAATAACCTCCCGTGTGAGATCGTGTGCTAAACTAGTGATGCTTTCTAAGCCAAGCAACATGCCCGCAAAGTAGCAGCTGAGCTGGCCAGACCAAGCACCGGGGTTCCAGATAACGGCATTATCTTCCTACCTGGAGAACCCTCACGGCTGTACGAGGACTCAGACCAAGGCCCTGATTTCAGACAACGACGATAGTAAGTCGTGGTCCTCCTACTCCTCGAATCTAATTCCGGGGCCTTGTTGACCACATTTCCAGCTTCTACTATATTACCGGAGCTGATTTTGCCGACTGCGCCGTCACATACCAAATCTCAGAAGACAGGCTGACGCTATGGATTCCATATGTCGAGCCTCGCCAGGTCCTCTGGTATGGATCAACTCCAGACGCTGCCAAAGCGCTGCAACTATATGATGTCGATGATGTCCGATATACCAACGACCTTTCCAAGTTCTTTGACCTTGCTCTTAACCCCTCCACAACCCTCTATATCCTACACAGATCCCAGCTTCCTCATGACATTTTCGGTCAAGTCGACGGCCGGACCGTCTCATGCCGAGGCCAGCCTGGCAGGATCGATTATTCCAGCCTTCAGTCAGCCATGGATCGTGCCAGAGTCATCAAGGATGATTACGAGATCGCCCTGATCCAGAAGGCAAACGACATCTCCAGCATTGCCCACCGCGAGGTCGCCCGCCAGATGCTGCAGCTGCGGAACGAACAGGATATCGAGGCCATCTTTGTCGCAACCTGCGTGGCCAACGGCGCCCATTCCCAGGCCTATAAGATCATCGCAGGTGCCGGCGTGAACGCCTCGACTCTGCACTACGATGCCAACGACCAGCCTCTCGAGGGGAAGCAGGTCGTTGTCGTTGATGCCGGGTGCGAATACAAGTGCTACGCTAGTGATGTCACACGTACCCTTCCCATCCCCGGGGTTTTCTCGCCGGAATCCAAGGCGATCTACCATATCGTCGAGCGCATGCAAGAGGAATGTATCTCTGCCATCAAGCCTGGCACCAAGTTCTCCAGCTTGCACCTCCACGCCGCCAGCGTTGCCGCTCAGGGCCTCCTGAAGCTAGGGATTCTCAAGGGTGACCTCCGCAAGGTCGAGGACTCCGGAGTTGCCAGCGCGTTCTTCCCGCACGGGCTTGGTCACCACGTCGGCCTTGAGGTCCACGATGTGAGCGGCGACCTGAGGTTGCTCTCCGCGGACAAGCTGACCAGGCTCGAAAACGGCAAACGAGAGATGATCACCCCGCCTGAGTTTGTGGACATGCGGCGTTCGGAGCGACGCGCGGCGACTGGCAATGTGAGCATGTACAGTGATGGTCGCCAAGTCCTTCAGCCTGGGATGATTGTCACGGTTGAGCCTGGCATGTAAGTCTACATCAGCCATTTCCACCATTTCTAGTACCTTTCTTTGATGGAATTCAACAATGTTTACTAACGCTTTCCAGCTACTTTTGTCGAGAATACCTAGAGGGTTATTTCCTCTCCCGTCCAAAGTTCGCCGAGTTCATCGATCGCGATGTATTGGAGGGATACTATGGGGTTGGTGGCGTCCGCATCGAGGACGATATCCTCGTTACTGAAAAAGGCTACCGTAACCTCACATCTGCCCCCAAGGGAGATCCGCTATTGAGCATAATGAACGAAGGCTTTGAGGTGATTGACTCCTCAGGGTAGCTTCGTGCTCGGCTACCCTATACTTCACTTGGTGTTCTTTGAGTTTAGCATGGAATGATATTTGGCTGTTTTTTCTTCTTCTATTTCTGGGGATTAGATGCTTAATCTTATTTGTCTTTTATCTTTCTTGACTTTGTTATGCTTTGGAATTGATGATATTCCGGTGTAATGTACTGCGAGAAAGTAGAATTAACTGGTAAACAATCAAGACTCCAACATGCAATCGCAAAAATCACCTCTAACCACAAAACGCAGACAACTTCTTCCGACGCCAAATTCGTCCAAAGATAAAAAACTAAAGCAAATAATGCAAACATAATGCAACAGTCCGAGCTCATACGTGATAATCCATACTAGACATAAAATCCATCACTCCCCTCATTTACAGGATAGTCGCTGCTCTCTGCTTTACACAATCATCACTGTATCCATATCCACTCCCGTCTTAATCTTGCTTGTCCTGCTAGGTTGGCAGAGTCAAAGTTTACAGGAACTTCTTTGGCGAGTTGGCGCGGCGTCTCTTGTAGAAGACGTAGAAGACGACCAGGACGACCTGCGTGCCAATGAAGATGAAAATCAGCTTTCCGTGCCCCGGAATGCGATCAAGCATGGCCTGGGACAGAGACGCGTGGTGGTCTGTCAGATAGTCCTTAACTGTGCGCTCGTTGTTCTGGATCTTCTTGGTAAGGTCGGTGCGCATTCCACGGACCTCTCTCTCCAGGTCCTTGACACGCTGGTCGATCGGGCCAAGCTGGTCAAGCTTCCTGAACTCGCCCTTGATTTCATTGAGCAGCTTGATGACCTCCTCGTGGCGCTGCTCATCGACCTGGTGGAGTCTAGAGACGGAGCGGTAGACGGAGGTGACGTGGTGATTGGTGGATTCCAGGCTAGCCTGCAGAGCCTGGAGCTGCTCTGTGACGGCAAAGTTGTTCTCCTCCTGAATTATGTCTCTCACAATTTCATCGGCAAGACGGTCTTGTTGCTCAGCGTCCTCGAGGGGGTCTCTTGGGCGCGAGTATGCATCCTCTTGAGCATTTTGGGTAAACTTCTCGTACTTGGACTTGTCGGACATAACGACAACCTTGAAGACCTCGAAGGAGTCTGGAGTATCGGGGGTAGCTGCGGTGACACCGAGGGCATAACCGGCAGGGATGGCGACCTTGTCGGTCTCAAAGCAGACACGGCCATCGATCTCAACCTTGAATGTCTCGTAGGTCTGGCGCAGCTTGATCTGCGACGGGCGCCCCAAGTTGCGGTAGGAGTAGGGGCAGTGGCCAAAGGCCAGACCATCGATGCTGGACTTGGCCGAGTAGTCTATGGTTCCGTCGCTTAAGAAAGCTCGGAGCATGCCCCCAGTGCCGCCGTGCGCATCAATGACGAGCGCCAGACCTTCGAACTTGCCCACACTGTATATGCTCTTGGAGCCGATCTCGGCTTCACCGTTCTTTGCGAGCCAGATGTTCAGGTTACCGCCGCCACGTTCGGGTCCGTTGGCACGGAAGTCCACATCGGCCACCCATTGATCGTGGTCAAGCGTGCCCTTGGACCATATCGAACCTCGCTGGTTTCCGGGAGAGATTGGGGTCAGGATGACCTTGTTCGAGAGGATCTGTAGCGGGCGGCCCGAGCTGGCGATGCTGAAGCCGGGAATCTGGCCGTTGGCGTCGGGAGGGCTCAACCTGGCAGGATATCATGTTAGTTGAGCTTGAATTGGAAATGATGCAAGGTGGAATGTCAAATAATACCGTCCAGAGTGGCCGAAACTAAGCTCATTGATTAGGAACTGCTGGGCTTCGACAGCACTTGCTGCCAGGAGCGCTAACAGAGAAGATGTGAAGTGCATTGTTACAGTTCAAGCCTTTTCCTCCTTTCCCCGAATATTTGTCTGCCCCGTTCAAGCTTTAACAGCTAATGCGAAGGTGCAAGGCCGAGGTTGGGGTCGGAACAAGCAGATCCTTCCAGAGGCCACTTTGCACAAAGGGAAGCAAAGCAAGGTATATCCCTATTGATCTGGCGCCAGCGCTTATAGATGGACAGGGGGGTAAGCAAGCAGACGAAGAGAACCGACGTAGAGAACAGTAAAAGCAAACGTCCACTGCAGTCGTCGGCCGTCTCTTGTATTAGCTCACACGGACAAGCGCAGGCTGAAGAGGCAAGGTCATCGAGGGGAGGCGACAATGTGTCTGCAGGGGAATCATATGCGAATTAATACAGGGTCAATGGTGGGCTGGACGACCTGAACCTTAGACGAGGCTACCCGCCAATCGCTGCCCGCCAGTGGGCTTTGGGGGGGTGGCTGCCGCTATTGTCTGCAAACGACGACGCTATTCAATGGGGGGAATGTGGCTTGACCGCTGGACTCGTGTGGCTGGCCCTCGTCTATTGGCGGGCACCCCGGAAGCTGGCCCACAATTGGAGGTTGGCCGTTGTGCCACCCCAAGTTCCAGAAGCTCTGGCAAATCTCCATGCCGGATGATCTCACAGGTGGCTTCTCCGACCTGCCACCCACAGAGCACAGCTAGCCCGACCAGGGATTGCAATGCGAGCTTCGCGCCCACACATTGCCGGTAGAGAAAGCTGCCATTCGTGAGCAATTGCCGACAGATCCAATGGACGAGTTCTACCCATCATTGGCGCAGTGCGCCCTGGTTGCTGCTGCACTCAAGATCCTGCTATTCCCGGCCTAGTAA